AGCGTGTCCACCTCGGGATTTGGATTTCCGGTATCGGCCTTGCACACCCATAGCAGCAAATGGACCCCAGTATCACAGGCCGTGTTTAGGACCGAGTCTCGTTCTCCATGGACCATCTTGGCGGCTAATGATTTGTCATGTCTTATCTTCGGAGTGACACAAGCGGAACTTCGCAAATTAAGTATCCTGGAAGTCGTACAGAAAGACCGCAGACAGTGGCTAGAATCCAAGCTTCAAGATCCCTCCACTGATGTCGCGGCTAAGCTTCAGTCCTCTGATAGACCTCGGATGACGCCGGTAAATCCCAGATCGATGGGAATGGGCAATGGTGTCACGGCTCAACTTCTCAGTAAACCGCCATCTCGGGCAAGAAGGGCTCAAACCGATGATGGCTATGGGTCTAGCACACGTATAACACGGCACCTCAATCACCCGGCTACCAAGTCGCGTGGGGTTCTGCTGTGTGGAGACGTAGTACCGATCCAGAAACGTAATGGAGCAAGGGGCTCCGCTAGTATCTGGGTTATGGAAAAGCGCGGAGGTTTAATCTGGGTGCTGGAGGAGATTCAAGAAGATGTTGCTTACCTCCGTTGTGATAAGTCATCGAATATCGCAGATGCCGATGGAGATATCGATAAGATTTGGGGTCGAAACATAGTGAAGCCTGGGAAGCCCATCACGGAGATTCTGCCTCGTCTTCCGAAAGAATGTCTGGAGGGACCGGTGGATCAACGCTTGACAAAAATCTCCGAGTTAAAACATTTCGCTGCTCAGACGTCCGCCGGAACTTCTTTCCCCGTCACTGTCACCAAAGATGAAGAAGGTATTTTACGGATCTCCAGTTTCCCACATGTTGCAGGTATGATGGTACTCGCATCGTCAACATTGAAGGTTATTAGTTCCAATTCGGTATTCTCAGCAGCCCTTTTCGGCTACGAGCGGCCCGAGGGATTACATATTAATGATCTAATTCCGGGATTCGACGAGTTCTTAAATGTGCTCATAGAGGAGGAAAGTGTGCCCCTTGAAGATGGAATGGTGATCCCAGAACATAGCTTCCGTAGGGCAAGGACCTTGTCCATTCTCCGTGAAGGCAAGGCCAATGTCGCATCGGTCTTTTTAGAGCCTACCGGTCTTACTGCCAAGCATCGCGACGGTTCAACAATCGCCGTCGACGTTCAGTTGCGCGTGGTTAAGAGCGGGACGATTTTCCCCGAGCAACAAGAGCAGTCCCCTGTTGAACAGACCGATGACTCTGAAGAAGGTGACACTTTCGCCGTTGCTGAATTGGCTTATGCACTATGGGTCACCTACTCAAGACAGATCCATGCCACAGGCGCGGCGAGCTTTTCACCAGCGCAGGCTGACTCTCAAGCGAGAAGCCCCTCGAATACTCCTGTATCGGACACGCAGTCATCAGAAACCCCTCATATGTCCCCCACAAACCCAGATCAGGTGTCCGTGGAGACCAAAATTCCTTCGTCGACTCTAAGCCAACAGCTAAGCGAGGCAGCATCAGAGCCTCTCACAGACAAGCCGGTGCAACCTGTACCCGAGCTAAAGCATATGAGTACAAAAGAGCCCCCTAAGAAGAGAACCATCTCCGACTATGTGATTCTCGAAGAAATGGGGCAAGGGGCGTATGGTGAAGTAAAACTTGCTCGAGTGAAAAAGAACCCTGCCAAAAAGGTCGTTTTGAAATACGTTACAAAGAAGAGGATTCTTGTGGATACGTGGACTCGCGATCGCCGTCTAGGTACGGTCCCGTTAGAGATCCATGTCCTAGATTATCTGCGCCGAGACGGCTTCAAACATCCCAATATAGTGGAAATGGAAGGGTTTTTTGAGGACGACATCAATTATTACATTGAAATGATGCCACACGGGCTTCCTGGCATGGACCTCTTCGACTACATCGAGTTAAAAGCGAACATGGACGAATCCGAGTGCAGAAACATTTTCCGGCAGGTTGTCGATGCTATTCACCACCTCCACACGAAAGCGTTGGTTGTCCACCGAGACATTAAGGATGAAAATGTGATTCTCGACGGCGAAGGTAGGATTAAACTGATCGATTTCGGAAGCGCGGCTTACATCAAGAATGGTCCATTCGATGTCTTTGTGGGAACCATTGGTAAGTCACTCAATAGTTTCTCACGGATTTTGTTGACACTTGAGAATAGATTATGCGGCGCCTGAAGTCCTCCAGGGCAAATCCTATCGAGGCAAGGAACAAGATATTTGGGCGCTTGGTATCCTCCTTTATACAATTGTCTATAAGGAAAACCCCTTTTACAATGTCGACGAGATCTTGGATCACCCGCTTCGAGTTCCATTCCTACCCTTCTCGGAAGATTGCATTGATCTCATTAGACGGATGCTCGACCGGGACGTTGACAACCGCCTTACGATAACTGAAATTTTGGAACATCCATGGATGATCGATGATGATTAGACCTCCGCCTTGATCCCAGCTTGCCATGCGCCGCGCGTGATCTACATCGATACTGCTATGGAGGGAATCTTCGAAAGACTTTTATATATGAATGTGTTATGCAAGAGCGCGGCATTCATCCCTTGCTCCTCGTTTTTTTTCTTTTATTTCCTTTGTTCGGAGACCTCTGGTTTCAATTAACTAATATACATGATGGAAAGCGTGGCAATGATTCGACATATAACGGTTCTTACGACAAGAAATGATAGAGGCACGAGTCAGGGAGGTTGTATGATACACGAACATCTCGGGTGACAAAATATCTGGCTTTGACGATGGATGGATTCATTTTGCTAAACGGAGAAAAGAGGAGAGTCTTCAAAGATAGGACAAACATATCGAGCAACTTACTATATAGAGGCAAAGGAGGCTGAGATACCCCATCATATTTGAGTTTACTTGGCTAGATATGAATCCAATCTGCATTGGTCCCATATGGAATCCACCGGGTAAAGATTGACAATTTAGCCACCAGTAGAAGCTGCTTATATTTACACCTAGTAGTAATGTAGTTATCGCAGGGTAACAATAGTGGCTCGAGGATAGCAAATGGCAGTAAATTGGTTGTAGTTCGTCGCAGCTGATTATGCACAATTAATAACTGATATTTACTATTCTATAATATACATTTTTGGAACAAATATGAAGATATTCAATGATTTTAATGATTTTAAATTATTATTATTAACTATTTACAAACTATTTCCAAATTTAATACAATTTCAAGGTAATTAGTCTGCTTATTTACCTTTCCTTATAGGTTTATAACATTTACACTATCACTGACTTGCATATAACCATATTATAACCATTTTCAACTGTTAGTATATAGTGTTGAGCGTTGTGTATACTAATACAACCCTCCTTACCAACACCCTCAGCTCATCATTATGAACTTCAACTTGTAGTTGCTTTGTTCTATAATTATATATACGAATCTCTCTCTCTCTCTCTCTCTCTTGCTTCACCTTCACCCGATCATGCCACCATTTCCAAACTTGAAGCCAAAAGCTGTCACGCATAAATCCAGGTAGCAACTGTCCTACATAGATTGAAACATCCATCTTTAATAAATTAAATGCCGATATTGAACTGCGGGGGTTTCAAGCGGGGACATAAGCCCGACACCAGAACTAGCAGTGGTGGCTAAGAATTGTTAGGTTAGTAGTATGCTTTGGTTACCACTTTTTAAGGTGTTAATTTATCAATGCCCAATACAATCAATCGTTGCTGCCTTGCGTAAGAAATAGGCTTATTTCGTACAATGGAGACAATGTTTTTTTTTGTGGAGCTCTCCTTGCATTTGTGAAAAAGTAAGCAAGGGGAATATTCTTCATGGCCTTTTTTTCTTTTTTTTTTCTACTTGTTTAGTTAATTCATCGGATATCGGAAGCATTGTTGCCACACTCTCTGTATGGTTTGGAACTTCGAGACCACCCCAATTCTGTAAAACCGGTATTATGATTCACGAGGCTTTCAACATATTCACAATGCTTTTCTATAATGATACAACTTGGCAGTAACTGAGAATTTAAGTAAGAGGTATCTAATTACATTTAGCTGTCTCAGCCACAATAATCGGATCCAATAACCACTATCTGGTTGACAGTTACACTAGGTAATAAACAGTTTGGACTACATTAGTGTCATTTCTTTTCATTCTTTCCAGTATTTTCTTGACTCTTTCATTCATTCAATTTTTTTTTTTTTTTTTTTTTTTTTTTTTTTTTTAATACGCCGTTAGGCTCCCCGCAGGGTGGCGTTGTCTCTGGCCATGTGGAGGCGAAACAAACCCACCAGGTACAAGTTCCGATAACTGAGCCTTTTATTTTTTTTGGCCCGTTTTCCCGGTCGGTTGTGGGCAGTGTACTAGATTCTTCGTTGTTCCTGGCAATAGTCAGGCCAGGAACATAGTGCTGTTTTCATTGGAGGTAAGACAATGTTTTGTAAGCCATGATTCCATGGTTGGAGGCCTTGCTCCCTTTTTCCATTTCTCTTGTCTTTTTTTTGGAGACACTGAAGCAATTCCATGGCTGGGTTGCAGTCTTACTGAGGTGTTATTGGGTAGGACAAGGTGAGATTCTAATGTGCTGGAGATTTGTTTTCGGTGGTTGGGTGGATACACTCTGTGCACCTATAAGATCATGGTATCTGGATCATGGTAATTCATTGTCGGGTGTATGGTACATGGGTGGTACTTGTACGATGAATTGGGTTTCTTGGTATTGAGGGATTAAATTGCGAGGCGTTTGTGGGTGAGTTGTAAGTGAGCTGGAAGTATGGAATTTTGTTATCTACATGTCTCTTTGGATATGAGTAGAACTGCATGGACATTCTGTATCACTGTTCTTTTTCTTCAGGTTACCCTGTTCTGCAACAATGTGTTACTTTCTAAAAATAATTTATTACCTTGTTGCTGCTATCCTTCTGTCTTGATTTTGTGTAAGACAAGGTGACAAAGGAGAGAAACAGATACTATTAGTTCAAGAAGCAAAAAAGAAAGCCGTACTCCCGGGGAGGATCGAACTCCCGACTTCCAAGATGCATATAATCTAGCACACAGTACAATGACCATATAAGCTTGATACTCTAACCAACTGAGTTACGGGAGTTACGGTATGAAAGTTCAGTGGATCGTTTTCTGTCTTTTGATATATATAATTTAGGGAGATGCACTCTACTCCGTCGGATTAGATTCAGCCTTTCGCATTACTGACGAGTAAGGCCGGTGTCAATTTCTAGTCGTGTATTGTCAGTATGGTGCAGCCCATGACACAGATAATTAAAGATTCAGAGATAATCAAATCATATTCCGTACTAGACCATTCATTCTTACAATTAAGCGTACTGATACAGTTCTGGATCCTACCCGTTGAGTATCATACAAAACCCCACTAATAGAACTGTAGAAAAGCCATGCGAGACACCAAGTGGGGCAAGTCTCGGGTTATCGCTAATCGATAAGTAACCTGATAAGCCTGTTGAGGGGGGGTTGTGGTGGCGGAGAGATGGAGATGGTATTGTATGTGTAAGGTTTCCAGACATACCTTCCATGTCAACAAATCATGCTGGGAAATGCTAGGTAAGTCGAGGATAAATGATTTGACAGGTGTGAAAGATGCTTACAAGGTCAGGAGGTGTGGCTCAAATCCTACGGTACAATCAAAGAAAAAAAAAAAACACTGTTAGATTGTCGGCTGACCGACTACCAATCCCGACCTGACTAACATGATTCTGGACCTATCATCCAACTGATCATTTTCTTTCTATCTCCTTTTGATTTTAATTTTTAATTTTTAATTTTTTTTCTTTTCTCAAGTCTCCTTACTAAAAGATTCAGCCTTTTCAACAAACTTGTCTGTGTTTGCTAAACTTCTTTTTTGTTCTTTCCAAAAACTTCCGGTAATTTGTATGGATGATGCCGGGGTGACGTATTGACAGGCCAGCCCTTTTTTTTTATTTGATTTTCTTTATTACTTTATTTTTTCTTTTTCAGAGCCGGTCTTTTCCCTGGCCGTACGGTACATACACTCCGCACTTGTAACCGGCCCCCCGGGTTACGCGGTCAAGAAGGCCCATGGTACAATCATTACACTTCTTAGCCGAGAAACAACACAACTCTGTTGCTTGATTCTTTCTGTCTCTTTCACACTGCGGATCTTCCCTCCCTGCTCTATCTATCTTTATCCCTTGGGTCTCCTATCCTAGCTCCTTAGCGGTCAACATATCCGCAGCGTAACGAGGCTTGGTGTTCGCACCGTTTCCCGCGAGTTGACATAGCAGTCTAGACGAGAGATTCTGGGTCCCAATTCGCATCCGTCACTATGATCGCCATCTAAATACTTCAACCACGGCTATCCTCGCGCAATCCCGCGCCCATCGTCACTACGATCTTTTCCTCGTTGATTGTTCAGCCTCGTAACTTTCTGAAAGTGTCCTAAAAAGAGTTAAGAAGGGTATTGGGAACTTTGGTATATGCATTTGTTAAATCTGCCATGGCTGCTACTAGTTCCGATACGATTGGCCCTGCCTCTGGAGCGGCTACTCCAGTGAGCCCAACATCTGCTACAGGACAGATCCCTCTGGAACAGCCCCCAAAACTCAAGGGCAGACACAAATTGCTACAAAGCCTCCAACGTATCTCCTCGAGTCCCAGTTTGACCAAATGCGGCCGATCTGCCTCTACCGGATACCGCAGAGATGGGAAAGCTTCGCTGTCTTGTGTTTCGCTTGGCCATTCGGCATATAATACTTGTCTGGGTAACGGGAGTTCATCTCAGCTCTATGGCGGGTTAAACACGCGCCCAATGACTTCTGGCCAGGCTGGTCCAGCAGAAGACTATGAGGGAACTGCTCGCATCCGTCTGGTTGGGTCGGATTCGCCCAATGGCACTCAATCGAAAACCGTTCCCCTACCAAATGAGCTGCGACCGAGTTCGCGGGGATCACCACTCGGCAGCAACAGTGTATCCCAGGAATCTATTACTATCGCACAGCCCGCGCCAAAGCCAAAGAAAACCTTTGACTTCTGGGGTAGTATGCCCGATGAGCTCCGAATGATTGTGTTCAGTTACTTGACTCCGAAGGAAATTGTTCGTTGTTCGGCAGTGTCCAAAGCATGGAACAAAATGTGCTACGACGGCCAGTTATGGGCCAGGGTCGACACCACAGAGTACTATCGTGATATCTCTAGTGATGGTCTGGTGAAGATTATCACATCAGGCGGCCCATTTGTTCGGGAACTCAACCTCCGTGGGTGTGTTCAATTACGGGATAAATGGCAATCTGAAGGCAAACGCATTACTGATCTATGTCGGAATGTTGTCAATTTCTCACTAGAGGGATGTCGCATCGACAAAACATCAATTCACTACTTTCTTCTCCGGAACCCTCGCCTCGAGTATATTAACGTCTCAGGACTGGCTAGTGTGACTAACTCAGCTATGAGGATCATTGCTCAAGCATGCCCGCAGCTCGAGATATTGAATGTCTCGTGGTGTTCTAGTGTGACTACAAGTGGTTTGAAACGCATAGTGAAAGAGTGTCCCAGGTTGAAGGACCTTCGAGCCAGTGAAATCCGTGGTTTCAATGACGAAGAATTTACCCTAGAGCTTTTCAAACGGAACACCCTCGAGCGATTGATAATGAGCCGTACAGATCTTACAGATGAAAGTTTGAAAGTTCTCATACATGGCGTTGACCCGGAAATCGATGTGCTCCTTGACCGGCCCATCGTACCCTTTCGACAGTTCAAACACCTTGATCTTCACCAATGTTCTGATTTGACAGATAACGGAGTAAAGAGCCTTGCTCATAACGTGCCTCATCTCGAAGGTTTGCAGTTGTCTCAATGTTCTGAACTTAGCGACGACGCCGTTATTGCCGTTATTCGTACTACTCCTTGCTTGACGCATCTTGAACTTGAGGATATTGAGGGGCTTACCAATAGCACACTCCAGGAGATTGCCAAGGCTCCATGTGCTTCTTGTCTTGAGCATCTTAACGTCAGTTACTGCGAGGCCCTTGGTGACCCCGGGATGATCCCTGTGATGAGGAATTGCTCTTCTCTTCGCTCTGTCGAGATGGATAATACTCGTGTTTCCGACCTCTCCCTGATGGAAGCTAGCTACCGTGTTCGCAAGCGAGGCTATGGCGATAATCTACCTCAAGTTGGCTTGCGCTTGGTAATATTCGACTGTATCAACATTACCTGGGCTGGTGTGAAGGAAGTTCTCTCAAATAATGCGCTAGTTCCCCGTTCTCGCAAGTCTCTACAGGCAATCTCGGTGATAGCCCAGAGTATTGTTCCGAGCCAGTCCTCGTCGACGACAACATTGGTTACATCCTCGATTACACCGCCACCGCAGCCAGCAGTATATCCTAACGAGATCATCCAACTCAAATGTTTCTACGGCTGGCAGATGACCGTGAATGAGCACAACAAACGAGTGCTAAGGGGCGACCTTTCTGCCGCAAGCCGGCTTGACAAGAAATGGGCGGATTATATGATGGCAACGGAAGAAGCGGGTGCGACAGGTGCTGGCGCCAGACGACGCCGTCGCCGGGCTCGTGAAGCCGAAAGAATATACAATGCCGATGACGAAGACGATGATGGCTTCGGCGTTGGTGGAATCTCTACACTTGGAGGAAGACGCAGAAGGGCACAAAGTGGAGGGTCATGTCTTGTCATGTAAAGGACGCAGTGCTGTCTTTTTGCCATGCTATCTGCTTTGACTCTCTCTCTCATCTACAAGCACTTGCGTGGAAGATTTCTGGGGCTGGTCCGCTCTTTTATACACCAGGTTCTGGAAACCTTGATCAATAGCTCAACGACGTTCAAATGATACCAACCAAGTTGGCAGCCAACCACAAATGCTGGTTACATGGAGGGCTGAAACGCATTGCTCCGGAGTATGCTACGAGATAATGAATTGATGGATTAGTGCTAGCAAATAGGTCGGCGCAGGTCGACAGCGCTATGAACCAGCGGACTATCTTTTTTACTTTTTTCTTTCTCTTATTGTGTGGGGTATTGCTATCTACAACATCACTTTGATTGAGTTTGGGCTCGGTGTACGATGAGAGTTGAAGTTCCTTTTGAGTCGCATAGCCCTTCCAATTACTTCACTACTTCCCTCGTTATGTTTACTTTCCTCATGTCATCATTTTTATCTAGAGGGGGATGGAGAAGTTAGGCGTTGTCGGCTAGGGTACTCTATTAGCGAGATGTGGATAACTTTTATTTCAGAATATACGTCCATCATGATGTCCTTGAGCATAATAGCGTAACTGCACTTGGTGCAGTGGACTGAACGGTCAGCCTTGACATTGGGTATCGTAGACAGTAGTACAATGCTTTTAGATAAAAACCCAGCTTAGGGGAGAATAAAAATGGAATAACCAGTGAAACCAACTCCTGCAAATGCACAGTTCTGAAATCGCCAGTCCAGGGGCTCTACATCTCAAAGAATCCCCCGTCACTATCGTCACCATCATCGTTAGACGGAGGTGGAGGTGCGCGGGAGCTGCGATGATTGTCCCTGGGAGCCGGTTTGGAGCTCTTTGCTTTCTTGTCGTCTCGTTTCGATGGGTTGGCGCTAGCTTTGGTCGCAGTCTCCTTGTTCTTCTTGGTCTCATTGCTAGCCTTCTTTGGCTCAGCACGGGCATCTTCCTTTCCGCTGCGGGCGTTCAACTTTCCGTCACGGAGGAGACCGAGTGTGCCGTCCTTCATACACTGTTCCACAACCGGCCACATAGCCGGCCGCTCAGCAGCGGTAGCATGCACAAGCTTATATCCAGCATCGCCATCCTCATCGTCATTGGTAGGTTTCGTCTGGTCCTTCTTCTTCCCATCAGCGTACAAAGCGATATATTTCTCCGTGAGAGGGTAGTAGATAGTGTAGTTCAAGTTGACGCGCGCGGTGTGAAGCTTCTGCGCAAGCACCGACAACTTCTGCTCCTTAGCATCGGCATCGATATCTGAGTCCGAGATTTCCTTTTCGCGACGTTCGAGGCGCTTGACATCTTTGGCGGCTGTTTTCCGGTCTATCATGGGGGAGGGTAAGTAAGAGTTAGATTGGCTTGCAGATATCAATGCGAGGAAAGCCCTCGC